TCATTTCATGCTATCCATTATGGTTAACGGAAGTGAATGTCTACGAACAAACCAAGATCTTCAGCGGGCATTGCAGTGTAAGTTTTATCGTCACTGGCTGATTAGTTTGGCAGCTTTTTTACGATATTTTATGTATTAAAATTTGTATAATTCGTATCTTTTTATGATATTTCTTTGACATCCTAATCAACCAAACATAGAACATTAAAGTACTGTCTAAAAGCCTTAATATGTTTCCAGTATTTTAGCATATTGTAAAAGTCATTTTCTAGCTCTAATAGGGATGCCTCTTTAAGTTTTGAAAATACGAAGTATTCGTTAAAATTGCTATGACGTTAGACCTAAAATTATCACTACAAGTTTTTTGGGGGGAGTGGGGAGAGGAAAGGGAACAATTTCGTAGCTAGGAAAGTAACATGGAGTTAGAATTTTTTTTTTTTTTTTGTGATATATAATAAGGTTGAGAATAATTGTTTACGAAACTAAAATGGTTTAAAATTATACCAATTAATCATCTCTGTGCTATTGTATATATGGTTGTTCCTCGTTTTGTAGAAAGCCCCCCTCATCGATTATGTGCATCCCGAAGCTTAAAATCTGAGTTCTGAATTTTATTTCGCTCATATTTTGAGAAGATTAATTAATTTTTGATTAATAAATTCAGAGATCAAAAACTACCATTTCCCCACTACTCGAATAAAACATTTCTATTTTCCACACGCCACTGCGTCACCAAACGTCAAATTATAATATATTTTCCTTCAAATATAAGAAACAAGCTCGGCCATTTAAAAACAGTGCATTGTTATTGCCTTAAATAAACTACTTTTATCTTTCACAGGCAAGTGTATTGTAGTTCGGCAAAACGCAACTTTCATATTTAAAATTTTTGTTTTTGATTAACAAGTTAAACAATTTAAAAGCAATAATCGCAATTCTTAATAATATTTTTGCTTTCCATTTTTGAAATGATACATTTAAACAAAAATGCGTTTCATTCATGATTAAGTCTAACTAATCATTTATCAAAGGCTTTTATAATGCTAAAAATACGTAACTGAAGCAGTTTTTACTTCCTTGTACGAAGTAAAAAGGAAGTATTGCAATCGCGAAAAGTTTCAGGCAGCATATTTCGACGAAAATATCCATTTTGACAGCTATCGAATGCAATTTAACGATGATTTTGCGTGATATCTGTACGTAAGGATAGAATAAAAACTCGTTTCCTCCAAAAAAATTATAAAACTGCTTTAAAATTAATTCTGAAGAGAATTTTTCTTGGCGTCTGTACGAACCTATGTACGTACGTATCTCGCATAACTCAAAAACGAGTAGCCTCAGAACGTTGAAATTTTTTATATAGGACTGCTATAACGTGTAGATGTGCACCTCGTATTTTGGTTGCAATCGGCCGCACCAAACGTATATCAATATATTTATATATATATCCACTCTGTTACTCGGCTCAATGATCTCAGTTTCATTACTCTTATATGTTTGTAAATTAAAAGTTTTTTGCCTTAAAAATGATTGAATTATGTTGTTTTTATCTCCCGGTTAAGGATTTTATGCCTTTAGTAAATCTGTATACAATATTTTTAGAATTATCAACAATTTGAAAGTTGTTTAAGTGCCGCTAAGCCTTTTTTTTATGGCGGCCATTGATTGTTTACATTTGAAACAGCAGACTAGTGGATTTGTTGCCAATCTAGAGAAACTTAGCTTCGCAACAACAAAGATAACGCGTTTATTTATTATTGCGAATTAAATCATGCTTAATCCTTTCTGGAATTTTTTCGGGGAAATAAGTGTTTAAGATTTACTTCGTAAATTTTAATATAGATATTTTGAGTTTTTATGTCTTTTGGCTTCCCGCGAAGTGAGAACTGAATTAATTGAATGAGAAATACTCAATCGTCTGTGAAAAAACTGTTTCTTTTTTTTTTTTGTTGTTTGCTTAATTTCTTTTATACGTCGTTCTAGCTTTATTATAGCATTTGAATAGAATATGTGGCAACGATTAGATAATTCTATTCTTTAAATGATATAAATTTTGTGCATTATGAGTTATAATATGAACGAAATATAATACTGTTAAGTAAATCTAGCGCCAGAGTGTCGCTATGATAAACAAATACTAGAGTGAATTTTAAAGAATGCATTTATTCTATTGTGGTTTATGCGCTGTCGGCGAAGTAGATTTAATTCAATCCAATAAGTTTAAATGAAATGCAAGAAAAAATGCGTATAATTTAATATTCCGTACAAGGAAGTCATGTGATGTACACATCAGATTTTTTTCTTTACTTTTACATTTTCTTAATAGGTAAATCTTTCTTCAAAATATTATATTGTAATTCGAAGAATTCCTTGAGATTCTTGACTTTGATTTCTTTTTTTTGAGAAGACTTTTTTGAAAAATATGAGATTTCGTTGCAGAGTTAGAAGGTAAAAAGGAATTTTACTACAAAGATATTATACATGATAATTGCTACAGAACGAGAATTGTGTCTCCGGTGATCAAATGCTTGAATAAAAACAAAATCAAAATAAATTGAAACAAACAGATATTTCATCAGTACTGCTTACATACACCATTTCCACAAGAAAATATATGTTACCCAGTTTTATATATGTTTTGAGACTTTGTGTGTAGACATATAGATCTAGATAAAAGAAAGGCTTTATTCATGTTTTAATATTTTGAAATACTTAAAAATATTAATTTTGTCAGAATTATGAAATTTAACTTTTTATAAGCTGCCCTGTTCCCCATATGTCTGTCCAGAAAAATTTATGCTCGTCATAGAAAATTAAGCAACAGATTTAACTCCGCCCAAAATATTTAACTTCAAAATTTTACGAAAAGCGTTGGAAAGGAAATTTAAGAAGAGAAATCAGCCTTTAATTATTCGAATTTATTCATCAATCCAAATTAAAGCATTAAAGCAATGTCAAAAATTGCAAATTTTGAAATCAAACATTTCCGTGTATTGTTGCTGTACGATAGACAAACGTGACAAACGTTATAGCATTTATTTTTCATAACGAGCATAAAATTTGGACCGGGAGTTTTTTATGTTAAAACATGAATAAATATGTCATTTAAAATATTTTTTCAAGTAAATATATGCAACCATAGGTTGCGAGAATAAAGGCCAAGTAATGGCTTTTGTGGACATTGTGCATACTTGAGAAATAGAATAGCATACCCAAAATAATATAAATGGTAGTTGAAAAGAACTGAAGGAAAAATATGCTGATACATATTTCATATTCCATAGTTAATTGTTAAACAATAATATGACTCTGCATTGAAACATAAAATGTTTTAAAACATTCCAGACTTTTCCGAAGCCTAATCCAAGAGTATTTGTAAAGTTAAAGTAATTTATACAGCGACCTGCGGTAATTAGTACCACACATTACATAATTTTTGTTGCATCGGAAGTCGAGACCCACTAGACTGGAATGAATCAGTATATTTAAAAAAGCAATTATTTTGGCTTTGGCTTATTTTTTAAATCATTATACATATAAATGTATATATATTTTAAATAACGCTAACAGGAACTTTTAAAATTACACTGTGCACTTATCATTATATATACGTTCATGTATGTATGCATGTATGTATGTATGTATGTATGAATTCCTTTTTATATTAAGCTGCTAGTTGAAGTAGCTAATATTATTAAAAGGTAAAGTAAATATTCAAATAATTGAGAAATTCGTCTATTATTTATAAATAGCCTAGTTTGCTAAACAGTTGCAAAATTATTTTTTGAAAAGTTAGATCAAAGATCTTTGTGTTTTGTTAAATAGCAACACACTGCGAGCTTGATATTTCTGAGGCCGCTTGGAAGGTAAAATTTTTTTGTTTTGCGCTGTAGCAACACCCACCAGGTGGTGTGAGTGATAATTGTAACATGTGAAAGTATAAACTAAAATTATAGAAAATTGTAACATGTGAAAGTATAAACTAAAATTATAGAAAATTTCAACTAAAAACGCTTTTAGTATCGAAAATGTGCAGAATTTAATAAAAATAATCTGAGCCTTCTCCTCAGACAGAATTCTGGAAAATGATTTTATTTTTTAATCTTGTTCCCAATCAGCATAATCAGCAAATATTTATTACGCTTTAATTAGTTAAAAACAAGGAGTGCCATCTTATATGGGAAACGTATGATGTGTTCAAAAGCGAATATGCTAATTTAGGATTATTTTACATCTAAATTAAATTGAGAACAAAATTATGCATGCGAAATGGATAGAAAGAATATGTATCTCGCTTTTCAGGCAATTAAAAAAGTTTCATTTCGGCTACCTGGAGCAATTTCATCACAAGAAAAAATAAATAAATAAAATAAGGCTCTTTTAGCTCTCTCTTCAAAAAGGTATTTCTTCTGAATAACGAGGAACCCGTGTTATATTGCCTACGAATGTTTCTTTCTTTTTTTTATATATATCCATATATATATATTTCTAATTCACCGTTAGTCCCCCCGAAAATAAACTTTATTAACAGATGCTGAGATTGCTGACGCATAAATGGTAAAAATACAATTATAGAACAGTATGTTAGATCAATTTATTCATCTATTTATTTTAAATATTATTGAATACAAGTGTTAAGTAGGAACAATTAGTTCATTGATGAATAATTCCTGGGGAATATTTTATTTTCGTGTAAAGTATAGAATGGAAACTAGATGGCAGCACGTGTAAGAACATGAATGTCTTATAGTGACAAAATGGGCAGGAAATTTCTTTTGCATACTGTTTAAATAAATACATTTTATTTCTTAATCTACGCTTCAATAATTACTTTAAGGTAAATGTTTTTAATTTGTTTAGTTGAAATTAAACTTTTACTAGCCTTACAGGTTTTTCTTTTAAGAATAATGTGGAGCGACGTCTTCAACAATTTTAACATCGTCTGCTCTCAAAAAAAACAAAACAAAACCATCATAATGAGTCTGAAAGAATTACTGAATGTAAAATTGAATCCATTTACCATTTTACATCTTACTTAGTAGTTTAATATGCAGTTCAGGTGCGTATCCTTAAAAACTATGAAGTAATTCTGATTTTTTTTTAAAAATATAATAAATAAGTTAATGGTATTTTGTATCATAATTATTAATATTTAAAGTTTTAACTCTAAACCCAAGCTTAAATTCTTTCATAAGATATTTGCAAAGAATTATTAGTAATTGTTAATTTTGTGTATTTTTTGCGTGTGCTTGAAGTAATGAAAAATTTCATTATATTATACCGTCTTCCTTTATTTAAGTAACAGCAATCTGCAATGTTGAAATATCAAGAAACGTAATTTTATACATTTTTTCATTTCTAGTGTATGAAAAAAATATGAGTCGTGAGATTAACATGTAATTAATTATACTTATAATACAATATAGCATAAATAATAAATGATGAAGAATGATAATAATAACGAGTGATGAAAAACACGAACTATGCTGAAATTCGTATTTTCCTAAAAAAAAAATCCGTTATTTTCTTAAAAAATAGTCTTTTGAGTTGGTTAGAATTAACTGAATTAAGTTTTAGAAAAATTACATTTAGACTTCTATTCTGCTTTTTAAAATGGCGAAATTTGTCATAAAAGGTTTATGTTTAGTTTTGCATATTAGTACATGTATGCGAATCATGGTTTGGAATGTTAGTCCAAAATCGCCTTATATTTTTTATACTAGATTCGGAATTTTTTTAAATTTATATGTTTAGCAATTCGTTAATATTTTAATATACAAGTATAAAAGGTAATTTATTGAAAAATATATTATAAACTAAAAATTCGGTAGCTATTTGGCAGAAGCAAGGATTGTAAATTATGGCTTCATATATATTGTAATTAATTAACTAAATTAAATATTTTTTTCATTTACATTTCGATAAATACCAATTTATATCACTTATTGACAGCCATCTTTTTGAGAAGATGTTTATGATACATATGTTATATGAGGCAAGTTATAAAAAAAGCTAATCACTTAGACTAATTTATCATTTCTCTAATTTGCACTGATATGCTTGCTGACTTTACACAATGAACAAAATAAAAGATTTATCTAAAAAAAGGGGAAAGTCAAAAAAAGTAAAAAAAATATTTTCAAAGATTTATGAACAAAAATAAACGATTTTGAATATCGATGACAGTGGCATAGCTATAGATAGGCAACATTAGGCAATTTGTAAGGGCCCGCACGTTTTAAGGACCCATTATTTTATTTTTTTTTTTATTTCTCAATATATGAAAAGGAATAACAAAGCAATAAATTTGTTGTCGAATCCATCCTTCATAGTTTATATGTACGGATTTAATTTACATTTTGTGAGTAAATTATGTTATTAATTGTGAAAGAGTTTTATATCTTCTTTTTGAATAATGTAAAAATTATAAATAAAATCGAATTCTACTGCAGCCTATCTTGATTTTTCTTAATTCTAGTGATAGCGTGATAGCGATAATTCTAGTGATAGATTTCTTAATTCTAGTGATTCTTAATTCTAGTGATTCTAGTGATAGCGTAATAATGAATTATTTTTACACGCATTAGCCCGTCTGCAGCATAGCAGCATTTGTCATCAAATGCGCATGTGCGATCTGACCGAGACTAACCTGACATTTCCATGCAGTAATCATTTTGTATTTGTTTTTGTTGCTCTTTTTAGCCCAGAAGAACTACTCTTCTCGAAACGGTATTTTGAGTCGAATTAGTTTTCAAACTGTTGCCAACAAATATTATCGTCCTTTATTATAAGAATATTATAGCCCTGTATAAAATAAATTGAATAATGGAGAATCTACATGAATGTAAATATGTTTCTCGCCTTATGACAAAACGACGGTACATAGAATGATCAAATTTTGAATAACATAATCCTCCACCCGAACACGGGCACCTGGAAGACCGAATTTGGATTTTTGAATTTGTTTTATTGTCTATTTTATATTTTGTGAAACTTTAACGAATTTTTAATTAAAAACAATAATTTCAGAGCAAGTAGTGGCAACATTGTAGGGAATAAAACATTCTTATCTTCAGATAGCGAGCCTGTCTGTCGGAACCTTATTTTGCCCACTGCCCACTTTGAGAATATTTTTTTTTTTTCCTAAAGCCCCCAATTGTTTTTACTTCCGAATTTTAAACAGCTATTGCCACGATTATATTTAAACATGTAATATTATATACTGTAAGATATTATATACTGTAAGATAGGATATGACCCTATAATTATTCTGAGTTTAAAGAAGACCTTGTTTCAATGCGATCAATTAAAACACATACTTAATTAATATTAAAAAGTATTTTATTAACATTCAATAGACATTGAATTTATTACTTATCTAATGAGAATGTTGAATTTAATACATGTTAAGGAGTTTGTTAATATCAGGCTCTATTTTACTTAAAAACAACTGTAAAACACCGCGTTCAGTAACGTGGAGCCGATTTCTCTTTTCAATTACCAACGTTGCTACACCACTAAATCCACGTCCAACTGAATAGGAAGATGGGAATGCTATCAGAAATGGTGTCCGCCGATAACATCGCGGCAAAAATATCGCGGATGAAAACGTCGTGGAGAAAGCAATGCAAGGTGAAAACGTCGTGCTACAAAACATCGTGGGAGAAAACCTCGCAAAGAGAAAACCTGGCAGTTCTAAAACATCGTGGTACAAAACATCGTCGTCGAAAATAAAGCGGTTCAAAAGCTTCGCAGTTTAAAAACATCGTCGTCGAAAATACCGTGGTAAAAAATAAAGTATCTACAAATCATCGCATGACGATAAGATCGCAGAAGTGCTTTTTTTCAGGTTTTAATAATTGTAAATGGACATTCCCGTAATGATTTGTGACCGCAAGGTGTACAGAAGGATAATTTTTACTTTCACATTTTTTATTAACTAATAAATGTTTGCTGAAAAAGTAAGAAGGAAACTTAAGCATAGAAAATTAAATGCAACTTATAGATTATACTTTTCATGAAAAATTACCAGTACAAACTTTATAAAAAATGATTTATTAATGGCCTTTCTTAATTAACTATGTCGGTTTAAAATTCTATTAAGTGCTATAAGTTGCATTAATTTTCTATGCTTAAGTTTCCTTTTTATTTTCTCAGCAAAAATTTATTATAGTTAATAAAAAATATGAAAGTAAAAATTATCCTTCTTTCCATCTTGCGCTCACAAATCATTATGGGAATATCCATTTACAGCTGCGATGTTATCGTCATGCGATGATTTGTTGATACTTTATTTTTTACCACGATATTTTCGACGACGATGTTTTTAAACGGCGAAGCTTTTGAACAGCTTTATTTTAGACTACGATGTTTTGTGCCACGATGTTTTAGAACTGCAATGTTTTCTCTTTGCGATGTTTTCTCCCACGATGTCTTGTAGCACGATATTTTCGCCTTGCGTTGTTTTCTCCGCGATGTTTTCGTCTGCGATGTTTTTGCCGCGATGTTTTCGGCTGTAACCATCAGAAATCGTTGAACAATCGACCACAAACCTGGGTATAGTGGCAAAATTGGTTTCTGCAGCCAAAATTCTTGGTAGCCATTCTTGAATTTAATTTTTAATTTTTCATTTGTCGTCAGTTGTATTAGTGCTTCTTCTAACTGGGATGATCCTGCTGTGTTGACATTTGAAAAAGGATCCAAAACCTAGTCTGGTGTATCCATGTTTAGAATGTCTTGGACTCGTTCCTTAAAATCACTGCGGAGGTTTTTCAAATGTTGACAGTAAACAAGCAAGTCATCGTGCTTGAATGATACTGCTGATAAATTTGGGAAGTTATTGAACTCGCGTCTGCCAGTATTTCTTTTGTACAAGAACAGTTTTGACACGAAAGCAGCAATGCTATTTTTGGTCGTACTCAAGTTTAAGTCGTCTCCTTGAAGTTGGAGATTGATATCATTAAACAATTTATACAGGTCTGTCAAGTACGCAATATCGTTCTTTGATGAGATGAGGTTGTCGCGCAGTTCCGTGTCTTTGTTTCCTAGAAACTCTATCACGCACCTAAAAATCAAATCAAACAAGTCAAACAAGTACCTTTTAACAGCCAGTGCACCTCTGTGTGAAACAGCAATCGGTTGAAATTTTCATCATTGGCAATGCAAAGCTGACTAAATAATCTGTCATTCAACGAGTTATTTCTGATTTAACTGATAACATATTGCAGTGATGTATGGAGGCGTTCACTCAGATTTTTCGCAACCAAATGCTGGCGATGAATTACGCAATGCACAGAAAGCACGTCAAGAACTTTACTTCTTAAGCACGCTATGAAGGCCTTTGCGACGCCCTGTCATAGCCGGCGCGCCATCCGTAGCAACTGGCAAAATATTATAAAAAAATAATTTCGATTTCGTCACAAAAACATTTCCAGTGTATTGATTATAGCTTTTCCTTTTGCATCTGTTTCCATATCGGTAGCAAACAATAGTTCTTGACATATTTTTGCGTCTTTGATAAACCTCGCGTACGACAATAACTATGTTTCATTGGACTCATCCAGGTGAATTGAAAACCCTACAATTCTGCAGATGATTACGCAATGATTGTTCGATGTTTTTAGCCATCTCATCTGTTCATCTTTGCACAGAACTATTGCTCATAGGAACTATTCCAGAAATAAAGAATTTACGTTTACTAATGAGCACTGCAATTTGCTTTCTCATGTTGTAAATGGTTAATTCCTTCAGTTGTGTTTTGTCTGATTTTTAAATAAAATATCACAGAATTTTTATCATAATAGATGTAATTTTCAATATTGCTCATGTATATTCAAAGTTATTTAAGTCGTTCTTCGAAAGGAAGACCCTAAGAAAAAGCTATATGAACAAGCGGTGCTTTTTTATAAACGACTTTAGTGTTGCAGATATGCCAGAATATTGTTGGCGTAATCACGACGTATACTAGTGTAAAGATAAAGAATACCATCACTATTAGAATAGCTCTGGGCTTAGACTCTTAATGATGCCTATGCTTGTGCTTTGTCTTCTAAAATTGGA